CCGGCGGCAGACGGACTCGCACAGAGGGACATACACACAGAGGGACCGGCACACAGACACACACAGACACAGACACAGACACAGACACAGACACAGACACAGACACACACACACACACACACACACACACACACGCACACACGCTTGCATGCACTCCCCCCCCCCCACGGATACACACATACATACATACACTCTACACGTGTACCTGCACACAGTCATACACATACACCCCTACACATACGCATACCTACAGGCACACACGTATCCACACTCACACACAGACCTACAGACACACCTGTATGTACATACACATGCCTGCCCCCGCACACATGTATTTACACACGCATGCATACACACATATGTGAAACACACATACATACACATGCATGTACCTACTCACACATAACATACATACGCACCTAGATACATGCATATATACACAGACCTGCACACACACATGTATATGCACACGCATATAAACATACACACATATACATACGCATATATGCATACCCACATGTGCATCCATACATATATGCATATGCACACATGCATATATACACGCATACATGCACATGCGTAGTCACATACAGAGACATGTACTACCCCAGAACGCAAATGCACGTACAAATACACTTAAACACACACCCCGCTCCCCCCCACCCCCACAGACACGCAGCCCGGTGCCCACGGGCTCCCAGGGCCGGGTGGGGGCTGGGCTCCTTTGTCCCCTCCCAGCCAGTGGTGGTCCCCGTCCGTCCTCTGCCATGACCAGTGTTGCTGAGGGTGTGGGAAGGACCCTGGGGCAGCACCAGTGTGAGCGGATGCTCTAGGGAGGCGTGTGTTCGTGTTTATTCTCGTCAAACATGCTCACAAAGAGACGAGCTTACCCATCCATGTATTTATATTCATACATACCCGTACAGACATGTACAGGCAGATAAATACACATAAATAGATGCATATAAATATATTATATTTGCATATATATTTGTATTATAAGCATATATTTGAGAACAGTTCCCATCATGTTTTGTGTGAGGAAAAGATATGTAATAGACCTACAGCCTGCACAAAGTTGGATTTCCGTACAGAAAACTTCCCCAGAAATTAGAGCTACCAAGTAACTGGCAATGAAGTAGTACAAGTTTGGGAAAAGTTTTCTTTTCCCCGTGGGCGATCAGCTTCCACCAGCACTCGGGTGTTTCTTACTCAGGGCTTCCAGTCACTGCTGCTTTCACTTCCCCGTCTCCTTGCCGGCTCCTACCCCGGCCTGCCGGCCCCGTCCCTCGGGCGCCCCGCTCCCACCGGCGCGCTCCCAGCGCGTCCCGCCCCCGCCCCCGCGCCGCC